ACAATGATAATTTAAACCTTTTTCAATTAATACTTTTTAAAAAAAAGTCCCAGGTGAGGCGCGTACTAATGCTATGAAAACAATGTGCGTCGCGCAGTGAATTCTCCTGGAATTTTCTTTTCATTACGAGCAAATAACTCCATGTTTATACTAGAGACATGGATATGTTCCAATTTTAGTTAGAGCTTTGATTGGTTGACCATTGATTGATAGGCTTGACTAGATGAAATGTTCTCATTTAGTTTTCTATCGTTTCTTAGTGATTGCTGCACACTGGACCGTGACAGACATTATTATTGAATGCTTTGATTGTTGCTCTTAGACTTACAAATGTGGTTTCTCAATAAAGGCGGTGGAGATTTTTATTCCACCTATCTCATCGGGATCTATATAAAAAAAAAGTATTTTACTTTTAACTACAGTCGACATTGCTGTTGCTTCATTATGGTGACGAAGAGATGACTTTACATTGTTACTTTACGTTAATGGAAGTCAATGTGGTTATTTGTTGTTTACTAATTATTTGTGCATTTGTTCCTCAATGGGAGATAATTCATAAGGCATATTTGTCTCTGGTGTGAATATTAAACAAACACATACGCTCTTTGTCAATAAGTACAATCTACACAATAATTCATATTTCAAAGATTAGTAAAAATACGAATGTGCCATGGCGCGTTTCTTGAGCTTTTTCGCCAAAAATAAAATATTGGAAGACAAACTGAACAAAAGGGAAGACAAATTGAGGCAAGACCATAAATACGTTATGTTCCGTCATTCTGAGATCACATCACGACTAGTTAAGGACCTGGTCCACATTCACATAAAAACTCCCGGCTTGCCGATTTCAGATTCAGCTTCCGAAAACCAAGTCAGATCTCAATCTACAGAATTACCCTCAGTGCAAACGTTTCAGGCTGCACGACGAAGTCAAACTATTGGAACAAAAATGAAGCCGTTGAATTACTTCCCTTACAGAGATGTAACAAATATGTCAAATTTGTGTGATGGCAAGTTAAGAGATCACGTGACACCCCGCGTAGAAATACGTGACAATAAAGTGTTTTATAAATACAAATGTTTGCAGTGGAAAAAACTAAGTCCAAACAAAAAGACGCACATTTTATTACATAAAATCAATTCAGTGGAGCGCATTCTCCACCGTGTCCACAAAATGGACTCATCTGGTCTCAATAGAGATCAACAAGAATCTGCAAGTAGAAATCAAGACACAGCCTTGCTCGGCAAAGAAAATCGCGTTAACGAACATAGACGCTTCTTTAGCATAACCGATGACAAAGAGTTTGATGCAGAAGTTGTCCGTTTACCCGCCATAGAAGGCAACGCCATCAGGAGCTTCTGTTTATGGCGGAGAGAAAGTCAACCTCCCGTGTGGATCTACAGAAAGTCGAATGGCCCTGACAGATTCTACACCCCAGGTTCGTTGTTACAATCATAAATATGTCAGGTGTATGGGGTGGAGGGGCTATCAGTGTAAAAAATATGGTAGAAATTAAGTCGCTTGAGTGTTAAATTAGGATGGCTGCCTGGTCGTGTGGTATGCGCTCTGGACTGTTACCTGAATGGTCCCAGGTTCGAACCCTAACTGCCACCAACCTCCAATTAAGGCAGAGTTAACAAAAAGTATACAAAAATTAAACACTTAACCCAAAAAGTAAGCAGACAGCTGCAGAGTGAATACATAAACAATGTAATATCTAAAGATAACAACAAAAACCTATGGTCATACATTAAGTCTAAGAAAATGGAAACAACAGGCATAGCGCCATTAAAAGATGAACATAACATAATACATAATGATAATGAAACTAAAGCAAACATCCTAAACAAATACTTTGCATCAGCATTCTCAGCCCTAGGAGACAAAGACATATTTCTGAATAGAAGATATAGTAGTACAAGAAAATGGAATTCAAAAACTATTAGCCAACACCAAACCAAATAAAGCGTCTGGACCTGATGGTATTCCAGCTAGATTACTCAAAGAACTAAGCAATGAGCTAGCCCCAGTGTTCTAAATACTCTTTCAGGCTTCACTTAACCAGGGCAGAGTACCAAAGGACTGGAAAGAAGCTAATGTCACCCGCCTATTTAAAAAAGGAGAAAAATCTGACCCAGGAAACTACAGACCAGTATCACCAGCATCACATGTAAAATCCTAGAACACATAATATGTAGCAACATCATAAACCACTTAGACAAACATAAAGTCCTCACACCATACCAACATGGCTTTAGGAAATATAGATCATGTGAAACACAACTAATAGGACTAATTGATGATTTTTCTAAAGGTTTAGATAATAGTGAACCAATAGATGCTATCTTACTAGATTTTTCTAAGGCTTTTGACAAAGTTCATCACCATAGTTTGCTTAAAAAATTAAAATATTTCGGCATTAATGGTCCACTGCATCAGTGGATTAAAGATTTTCTGATAGGGAGAGAATAAAATGTAATAATAAATGGCTCTAAATCAACACCGATAACAGTAAACTCATGTGTACCTCAAGGAACAGTCTTAGGTCCACTACTATTTTTAATTTACATAAATGATTTACCAAATTGCATTACTTCAGGAACAAAAGTCAGATTATTTGCAGACGATTGCATAATATATAGAACAATAAAAACAACACAAGACACAGATATTTTACAAAGAGAATTAGATGAATTACAGAAATGGGAATCAAATTGGAGCATGTCTTTCCACCCAGAAAAATGTCAGTTGTTAAGAGTAACAAAAAAACTAAAAAAAATTAATTCCACTTATCTTATTCATGGCAAACCAGTAACACAGACTAAAAACGCAAAATACCTAGGTGTTATAAATAAATGAAAAACTATCATGGAATCCACATATTGATGAAACTATAAAAAAATCAAACAAAGCATTAGGATTTATTAAAAGAAATTTCTATAAATCAAATAAGAACATAAAACTAAAATGTTATTTAACCTTGGTTAGGCCAATAATAGAATATGCATCCTCCGTTTGGGACCCCTCAACTCAAGAAAACATTAAGAAACTGGAACAGACACAAAATAGAGCAGTGAGATTCATAACAAATGAATATTCACATTTGACTAGAGTAACACCTATAGTAAAATCACTAAATTTAGAAAGCCTTCAGGACAGAAGACTCAAAAGTAAAGTAGCAATTATACATAAAACACTGAACCATAATCTTCAAATACAAAAACAAAATTTAATAAAATACTCTGAAAGACATAAAGATAAAGGCACATTCCTCGTCCCATATGCTAGGACAAATTTGTACAAACACTCCTTCTTCCCTAGTGCTATTCGAGCATGGAATGGGTTGCCTGAGCTAGCCAGGAAAACCAGTGACTTGGCAGAATTAAAGTCATTGGTTAATATGCATGACTAAATGCATGACGCGTAGGACGTAATCATTTTCTTTTCTGAAGTAACGTCTGTATTATATAACATAAGATAACCCCCACCTTCCCGCTGCAGGTATTGGGTCAGGATGTAATAATCTTCAATTCTGAAATGAAATATGAAAATAAATAAGTTAGCACTAGGTCTACTATATATTAAAAGTGTTCAATTAACTTTAATTTACTTTGGGAGTAGTGGGTGTGAGCTCATAATATTGTTTACTGAGACCTACAGTGACACACACACAAACGGAAAGACAGCCATTAGCAACAACCTACATTTAGATCCATCCATGTAAATAAAGAAATTTTGTTGAATGAAATATTAATACGTTTGTAAATTATGTTTTCAGGGCGGTCAATGACAACTATGAACTGAAGTCACAATGGAAGTGTTGTCAAGAGAAGAAAATGTAGTACTATGTAGTTAGCCTACGTTTGCTATAGTGTAGTATGCCTAACATTGTTCTAGTAAGCCTACGTTTGCTATAGTGTAGTATGCCTAGCATCGTTCTGGTTAACCTATGTTTGCTATAGTGTAGTATGCCTAACATTGTCCTGGTTAGCCTACATTTGCTATAGTGTGGTATGTCTAACATTGTTCATCTAACTTGCAAGCATTCGTGAAATTAAAGGCACTAAGTCTAGAATACCTCTTGGCATAGTGCAGCGAGAGCTAGCTTCTGGCATCCAAGTTAAAAGGAAATAGCAGATAGCAAGTTCAATTATAAGCTTTTACATAATTTTTCATCTTGTCATCTTTGTGTACATAGAAAATGAAATTGTCTTAATCTTTTAGTGCACACAAAATGAATTGTGTGCTCATCTTCAGTAGCCTACACATTTTAAATGACATACAAAGACACAGGTCAGCTTGCAAATATCTTTGTATGTCTTCTTCTTTTGTCCTTAAGCAAATTATCTGATGAACAATTCATAAGTTCACTTGACACAACTCCACTTATCCAAATTAAGATTAAAATGGGCATTGTACCTTTTAATTTTGTTATAGCAACAAGTGTATAAAGAAACATGCATTGTAAAATTAATTCATTTCAATTAAATTAAAATAATTAATGCAGTAATTGTTCAAGTTTTTTCCTCCATTTCCCATTCTCAGATCGAGTTGAAACTTTGCACTATTATTCATTGTTCCTAACAAATTATGAATCAATCAACAAATTAACCAATTAATTAGTGCTAACTAATCAATTTAGTTTTAAATTAAGGGAAATAAATCTTACAGTATTGATTTATATATGGGCTATAAATACTCAGTTCTTCCCCTTATTTAAGCTTAGTGGTTTTTTTTATTCTGCTTGTTTTTCTGTGACATGTTCTTGATTTTAATTGAGAAAAGAGTTTACATAATCATAAAAAATTTCCAAATTAGTATTAATGAAGCAGGATGCTTTGGGTAATCTTCAAATTTATATATTCATTAGAAAACATCTCTGTAAAGACTACACTTAACAGAAACAATCAATCAAGCAAATGATTTTTTGTTCATTTCTGACAACATAACTTTTCATTGATTATAACAAAAGGCTTTTAAAAAAAAAGCAAAATAAATATCAGTTTGAAAAACATAATTTTATTTGTCCTTAAACAAGTATTTGATGAACAACAGAAGAAATTATACAAACTGCATATAGTGAAATCCCAATTCATAAGGAGGGTCTGGTTAGAGCTTTTTTCATAATATACTATGTTTCTGTATAATACATATTTATTATTTATATATTATATGTTTTTAAAAATATATTTCTTTAAGAATCAATAAATCTACCCCCCCAGTTGTGTTCCACTGTGTGTTATAACATTGTTTGACTTGAAACATAAATATAAGTTATACTACGCGAATAATATAAAAATGTCAACAAAATTGAGGGAAAACCAAGTCTTGTTATATTATACCCAAGTAATAAGCTACATTTCTGAATGTCTATCAAAATATGACATGAATACGTGAATACTAGAAACATGCTTGGAAATGTTTTCTTTAAATGTCCAGTCAGATATTAACAAAAGACACCTTTTTGTCCCAATGAAATTTGTTTTACATTTTCTTTAGTTATACATGCATAACTTTCTAAATTTTTTTCTTGGGCCCACCAATATATATATTATCTGAAACTTTTGTGTTTTCTGTGTTTAAAATAACTGGGGAAAGGGCATACTTAGACCCTCCCATCCCATTCGGGGCATTGGGGCAAGATGTGGGGGAAGGGCACATAGATTTAAAAAAAAAAGGAAGTTGTGTTTGACATCATTACATAACTTATAATAATATATTATTGAGTTGTGTTTGACATCATTACATAACTTATATTAATATATTATTAACTTATATAAATTCAAAAGAAAATTCTATATAATTAAATGGAAAAAAAAAAGAATTTAAAAATACAAAATTTTCTTCTTGGAAGAATTAAACGATTAAAAAATGTAGAATGTAAACATAGAAAGGGGCATCCTAAAGTAAAACCATTGAGATATAGTGTGTAAAGTGAAAGAAAGATGCTAACAGTTCAAATAATCAAGAGATGAGCCATGAGACATATAACAATACACCATCACACACACACACATATTGCTGGCTGAAACACATTAGCAATGACTTTCGGTACAGCCTCGTAGAATAAAAAATACTTCATTTCAGACGTAGTACTTTTGTTAGCTAGATAAAAAAGAACAGTTAATAATATGGTTTTTCCTTTTCCCACAATTGAATGACAACCTGATCAAGATCCTCAGAGGGGAATCTGTCGACAAATGATTGAATCAGTCCACTTGGGCTTGGCTCGTAAGACTGGAGTTTCACAACACCATCTAAAAATAATGAAAAAGTTAAAAATGATGTAAAAAAATAAAAAGTAACAAACTGGTACTGGCATAGCTAATTTTTACCCATTCTAGTAAATAAGGATTAAGCCTGTCATTTTACAGATATTTTATATATGATTATAAATTATTATAAATTTTAAATTGCTCCTAGTCCACATGTAACACCTTATCCTCCACCCACCCTAGCTATGCCACTGATAGTACTGACTCCTCTAATAAGTCTTTTTAGTTTTTACAAACCCAAGTCCTTGGTACTGAAATATATAGATGGTCTATTTTTATTCCCTAGACTTATTCTAGACCACATGATTGAAGACATAATTTTTTTCAAAGACATTACAAGTTCAAGAGAAAGAGAATCCCTTTTGCTCTTGCAGTGGTCTGTTTTCACACAGTATGTCACAATAATAAATTCAAGAATGAATACTCTTTTTTTTTTTTTTTCTCAAAAAGTGTCTATCTATAAAAATAAAACAGAAACTTTTTTGTTAGAGAATTTAAAGGAACTGTTACAGATTTTTTCCCACAAAGCCGTTTTTATTTTTAATTTAATTAATTGTTAAAGTTTACTTATTAGGATTTATCATTTTCCAACAATAATCAACAATTTAAACACATTACATTATTTTATACTATTCTATACCTCGGCTCCTAAGCTAGGAAACACAATTCAGATAAGAATGTCACATTTTAGAGAAAATAAATTGTCTCCTGTGTTTCTTTAGTAAAGAGATATTTAAAAATAAATCGAATTTATTTTTATTGTGGTACTCACGCATTGGGAAAGACATCATAATATAAAATAATTAAAAACTAAAAAAAAATAAATGCTTTAGTGATCTAAACATCTGCAAGTTCATTGAGTTTAAATGTTTTGGACATTCCTTCAGAAATAAAGACTATTACATCCTAAAGAGAAACTTCTGCAGGGCAGCAGGGGATGTTAGCAGGAAGGGTTTGAAATCCAAACCAGGAATGACAGCAGATACCACCAGACCAGGCATAAATAGGTCAATAAGTTCTATTACATACCCTCAATGTAAGTGTGATGTTGAACAAACAACTTTCTGGGCTGTTTCCGGTCCATAACAATGCTGCGCAGGCTTAAGAACTTTGGTTCATCCTGGTCATTGACATCAGAATAATATGCATACATTTTTTTGCCAGCTTCAACATCAGCTGTTGACTTGTAGACCTGTAGAAAAAATAATAAGTAAATTCAGCACAACAAAAAAGAAGCAAGGGAGTTACTTTAATTTTATTTTAACAAGAAAAAAAAAATCTCACTTAGAGAGCAAGATGTGGGTTGGGCAGGGCAAAAAGAAGTTCACTTGTGACTGTATCCAGAGGAAGACAAGCCTGTTAAGTGGTCAGCATAGCAATAAAATACCTTTACTTTACTTTCCCCTAGAGATGTTCCTTAAGTTAGTTATTGTCGGAAATAATGGTAGATATATGCACTCCACTATCTAAAAATCCTACCCATTGCATGCATCTCTAATAGTCTCTGACAACCAGTCCAACTTCGGGCATTCACATGTGCCTCGGATACTGGGTCTCACCAAACTCTTATCACTAACAGAAGAAGAGACAAATCTCTGTTGCACTGCAGCTAAATCTAAACACAAGAAAGGCTTTAGGAGTCAACTTTAAGAAAAAAATCAGGAGCTAGTGACCCTTAGGCTGCTTGTAGCACCACAGTGCTAAACTTTGGCAATCCAGCGACACTACTAAATGACCATAGGCTTTCATCTTGTCCTCCCCATTGATGCCTTATGACTGAATGAGGCCGATAAACAGATGTTATGTCCTTAGAGTGGACATATTGACATGCTTAAGTCAAGAATGAAAATTCCAGTTTGAACTACAACCAAGATTTCAACGTCCGACTCTTGGCTTGCTTTATCCTATCAGCACATTGTTTCAAATAGAAATGAATAAAAGCAGTTTTAAAAATGTGCTACTTTTAAAGTAAAGAAAAAAAGTTCCCCTTTCAGACCTTGTAATCTCAGACGATGTTAAGGTCATCTGTTTCTTTGGCCAAGGTTAATGAGCAGGGTATCATGTTGCCAGCACAACAACCAAAACAACAACCTGAAGTCAGGAACCCATTAGAGGAGAGTTGGGTGGACTTGGGGGCGGCTTAAAAATCCCAAAATTCAAAATCCCAGTCTTCACCGAGATTTGAACCCAGGACTAAAGGTTTGGAGACCACGCACTTAACCACTAAGCCACTGTGCCCCCAATATTAAAGCATTCATTAATATTTTACCTGCAATTTCCTCAAGAAGGCCCCAATGGCTGGTTTACCAACTGAAATGATCTTGGCCCTATCCAGCAGAACAAGAAGATCAGGGTTGCCATCCTCACCAGTCACTTTCTCAATTTTGACTAAATCCTCTCCAGCCTCTATCAGCACTCGTAGGATGACAAACCTGGCATTCATGTGAGCCTGTAAGTTGGTACATTTCAGTTTTTTTGGTTAGTTATACAATCAGAAAAGAAGGACAATTATACTAATTCACTTCACTGTTCTCCCTTTCTTTTTAAACTGGAAGATGACAAGATTTTGAGACTTTATTAAACTTTTTATTATACAAGCCTCACATCAGCCTAAATGAAAAGTTCTTCCCTTTAAAAGAAACAAATTATATATGGAAAAACAACAACTATTGAAATACTATGTTTTATTTAATTATTGGGTAGCTAAAAGAACATCAAATCAGTTCTTTAGAAATACAATGCTATACTCTTACCTGCCTCCAGGAACTAGTCTCAGGTGAGTAGAATTCTAAAGCTAGAAGTCCAGCTCGGACCATGTTGAGCCAATTGATGTAAATGATATCATCAGCTTCATCCCCAGTGTGACCAAAGATGCTAAAACAAATAGTTTCGGTAAATTATTTCTTAAGATGACAGGTAAGATACTAAAGCAGCATTGGAGCACTCTTCAAAGAAAATAAGACAAACGTGGGCAAGTGCTGACAAGTACTCAAACCTTGGGCTTTGACTTGGCAATAAAGTTTAAAATTAAAAAAGGTAGCAAGCTAACATCTGACAAGAACGTCCAGGTCCAAAAAAAAAAGATTAAACTACATCCACATTCATGACCCAGTAATCATACTGTCACAAGACCTACCTAAAGCCCACATTTCTCCACACACCCCTAACAAACAATAATATATCGGGGTTGACCAGGTACCAAATTAACATTCACTTTCACCATTCCACTCTCTAGAAAAGAGGGTTCAAATGACCTGTTTAAATTGCAACTTCGTAAAATGAAATTTCATCCTATTGTTTTGTTATAGCAAATATGAAGCTACACCATTCTGTAAAACGTTCTGATAAACTGAAAATTGATGTACTTAAAATTTGTCTAGAGGTTTTTAAAATATGTTTTAATCAATATATATACTAAGCACATCTTGTTCATATAAAAATAATAATGTAACACAGAGTTGATAGAAATTAGAATATAAAAAAATATTTTTTTAAATTGCTTTGTATAGTGCAATCTTTCATGTCCCATAATGCTCAGTGCACTCTTGGAGAGCTTTTTGGTGAATTCTGGGTACAAAATAAAGCAAGTGTTGATAAGCCATGTGTCTTTGATAGTAGCACCAAAAAAAAAATCATCAGCTTTCAAAGCAAAATCAATTCCCTACACAGTCTTTTATGTATAGTTTCTTACATTCTATAGTGAGATAAGGTTAGAATATTAAAACATGGCACTCACCTTTGTACATCAGACAGAAGGCACAAATAGATTCCAACAGACTCTGCACGACATTCTTCATAGGTTGAAGCTATGGTAGAGAATTTGCTGTCCCAGGTCTCTCCAGACTTGTACCAGCTAGTTACCTAATAAAACAAAACTTTTTGTTTGACATCAAAGACATACTAGAAATATATATTGTCAAAAAAACAACAACTTTTCTCAAATAGATAATGGCTTTTTAAAAAATATAATGATTGAAGTTGGAAATTGATTACAATGAGCAACAAATACAAAAAAATAATATAATATTACCTATTGAATAATTTGAAACATCTTGTAACATTGTTCAATAATAGAAGTTTATCTTAGAACAGGTTGATAAATGCAACATCAGTAAAAACTTTATATGATTGGTGTGAATTAGCCACAAAAAAAAAAAAAAGCCAAATTATATTGGTTAGATCATTTTTATGGTACCTTTTAAGTATATGGAGGCAGATGATGTAAAATTTATGTGTTTCTATGGCCAACAGTTACCAAGGATGTCATGTGACCTACCGCTTACACTTCCCCAATGTAAGTCAGGTACCCAATAGAGTTTTTTGGACTTAGGGGCATTCTAAAAGTCCCAAAATCAAATCCCAGTCCTTACCTGGATTCACACAATAGCACTCTGAGACATTCATTAAACTAAATGCAGGAAGAAATCCTCTTTCAAACCTAACCCCTAATCAAACTAATTGTTTTCAAACCAAGACTTTTTTTTCACCTTTTCTT